GGCGAATCTAGGCTCGTTGGTGAAGCCTGGAGGGAAGAGTTTTGCCCTGGCAGCCGAAGCAAAGAAAACGAATACGCCCAAAGAAAAAGTAAGATAAGCAGCGCTCTCTTTCCATTTTAGAGAAATATTTTTCATATTAATATCAAAAAAAGAGAAAAATAGGACTAACCTAACTACATAAGTTGCCTGAAAAACAAATTCATGCAAGTCGAATGGTGGCCCTCCTTTCTTCCTCCTCCAGCTAACCCAAGCATCTTCCTCCTTCAGCCCCTCGCATACATGCCTCACCTTCGGATGTGACGGCAGGGCAAGCGGCAAGGTTCGCCATCCGAGCTCCACGCGCGGCTCTGCCCTTCATCTTCTTCTTTGGGGAAAATGAACTTGCATCATTTTTATAGCCACTTGTGTATACACGGAGAAAAATGGATAACTTTATTTTATTTGTTTGTAGACGGTCATCCTACGGAAATGTTTTTTTCCTGTCCAAACCCACCAAAGAGCGTTGCGAGCACTATTTGCAAACAGGCATACAAAGTTACAAACTGCTGCAATGGGTGACACCTCATCAAATCATCATGATATTAAAAAAAAAGTCCTTGTTGACGATGAGGCTACATGATCAAAGACAATCGGAAATTGATATTTTGGATCCCAGGCTCCATGGAGCCCGAAATTTTGAAAAATACAAAATCATATTTTGAAGTCCCAACAAAACTGAAAAAAAAAATACACAAGAACCTAGGGATGTATATGCTTTGGTGAAAACTACACAAAAATTAAATCATGTGCAGCTCACACCATAGCATATTTCATCATGAAATTCTACAGAAATGTAATATACATCTCTATATTCAAGTGTATTTTTTCAGATTTTTTTTTTGAATTTTAAAATTTGATATTTGATATATATATTTTCTAAAAAGGGCTCTCGGGAGCAAATCCACTCTCAAAGAAAATAGCCTATTTTGGATGCTTTCATGTGTGGTCGAGGCCAGCTCCTCTGGGATTAGGGCAATGCCGATGAAGATCCTCATGTTTTGTTCCTTCCACACATTCCAACAAGCGGATAACTACACCAGATGTTTTTTCCACAAAGCCAAACACTTTGATTTATTTCACTGCATTAGCAGGAGACGTACAGTGCGGCCAGAAGGAAAAAAAAGGGACAGATTTGGTTGGTACTTCCACATCTGAGTAGAACAGGTTCATGTTACAATTATTTTCCCATTCACGTCAGTACCAATTGAATCAATGTTATCATCTGTCAATTTGATCTGTGGTTTTATACCATGCTACACGTGTGTATCAGTAGCATCCTGGGATTACATGCAAAAGGAACATTTTAGGACACCGTTATTATCTTGTGGTAAACATGAACGTTTCATTCACATTGCAAGCAACAACATTTCATTACATCCGTAAAACAAAACAATATTACTATCTACCAGGACACTACTACTAAGCAGCGAGTGAGCCTGTTGTTCCTCATAATGGGGCACTACCACACAATCGACTTTAACTGCAAAATAGAGATACATAGCCAGGATCTAATCTGTCAAATAAATCCTCCAGTGCTTGCCGGTGGCGCATTTACCCGATAAATACTCTTCCATTCTTTACTTCAGAGCATCCTTGCTTCCAAGTTCCAACAGGTTTTGAGGCAGCAAGCAGGCTCTTTGAGTAATTGGGCGTGTTGCTTTTGTCAAGGCTTGCAACAGACTATGCTAACCGATCCTGTAAAGTCACTGGATCGTTTGGGCGCAGTAAGTGGAAGAACTGCTCAATCGTCTTTTCTTGCATGTTCTGCTTGATTCTGCGCCGACTTCCGCCTCGTCGTCGTCAGCAAAGTTCTGATCAGAGACCTCTGCAGAGAGAAACATGGCATCAGACATTTAGCTCGCCGCAGGATGCTGATATAGAACATGGTTACCACAAAACAACAGCGCCCGTAGCTATCTGCTACTATGAGCTTACGGATAACATAGGTATGCATCTTCCATAAAATCAGCTAATATTAAAAGAGCATATGTGTGTATGATGATGCACCAGACACTGTATGAGGTAGTGATTGAGGTAGCTACCTGAATTTTGGTCGAGAAGGTTTTCTCCCTTGCAAGCTCCCAATTCCCTTCCATGGGACAAGGGAGTCCCCCCAGGGGTAGTCCGAATACCCGATTCGTGATCACCTACTAAAGTTTGTGCCCCATCACCTCTTGCACTGCTGCTGCTGCTGCTGCAATCACGCGATCTGAAATGCTGGATCCAGGGGTTTGCAGGCAGGCTTTGTTTGGCCCCGACTTGAGCGCAAGCACCGGGCCTCGCAAACTCGACTTTCTTCCACACTCCAGCCCCACCTTGGAGAACCTTGAACCCATTGGTACCTGAATCTTTCCTGTTGGCGTTGTTCCCGTGATTGAAGAGTCGGTTGATGAAAGAGGCTTCCATGGAGCTTATGTAATCCGTGTGCCTCTCATCCGTCCATCCGGCCGACACCAGGTTAGTGACCTGGTTGCCCTGTCAAAGAAGAACAGATGCCACCAATCAGTTTATTTCCAGGGTGCATGAATTTCCGATCAACATGAAAGTAAACGACGGATCCACAAATTCATGCTACTATAGTGATGTCCAAATTTTATTTTATTGATTTTGGCGAGACCAGCACAGTTTTCACGGCTTTGCAATTCACAATCATATGCACACAAGGAGCAGGAGCAGTGCGCCGTTTTTTACAATTCGTGGAAGGAGGGTGTCGTCGCCATGTCCGCTTTGAAGAGACCTCTTTGTGAAGAATGGCACGACGATGCAGACAAACAAACAAGTGGCAGTTAAAGCGGTAAATAAACAATCTTGGTCCTTGAATTGAGAGAAAGAGTGGTGAGCAACAATAGACCATGGAGATGACTAGCAAAACCGGGCAGTAATGCATCACACAGCCAAAAACATAGATAAAATAAATGAAATATTCGTTCTGAAAACATACTCGTAGATTAAAATAAGAATGGAGAAGAGGGAGCATGTGGCGGACCAGTGGTTACCTGGGCAATGCCGACGTCCGCTGGCTCCGGCTCCGGCCTGGCCGATCGATCCAGTCCCAGGTACACCTCGCCCATCGGATACTTACCTACTTGTCAGGACGAGAAGGAGGCGACAAGGGGGGCGGACAGGCAGAGGCCCCCGACGAAGGGATTCGCCTGTGCTGGCCTGAGACAACAGGAAAGATCTCCCCGCGGATTTCCTTTCCGGGACGTGGCGCGGAGAGGCGGGCAGGAAGGAGATCCAAGGGACGGGAGGGAAGGGGGACGCAAATCCCCTTGAATTGAGCCCGCCCGCGTGGAGGAGGCCGGGGAGGAGACGGGCGCGGGGGAGATTTGGAGCCCCAACGACCGGAAAACAATCAAGAAGAGATTCCGCAGGATCCAGGCCAAGAACCGACCCCGACGGAAGACAGATCGAGCGAGCGAGCGAGCCGTGGCGGGACGGAAAGGAAATTTATGTGGATTCGGCCGGCGTGGTCTCTCCGGAGGGGAGGCGAAAGAAATAGCAGCGGAGGAAGGAAGCAGGCGAAGAACGGAGGAAGGAAGCCAAGCGCTTCTCCTCCGCCCGCAAATATCAAGGGAATGGACGCCCTTTTTGCGCCTACGTGCCGGCGCTTTCTCCAGCGTGGCGGGGCGACAGGTGGAGCGGCGGGGCGAGATATTTGCTGGCCGGCCGCCCGCCCGCCAGAAAGATCTGCGGAGGCGGAGCGGAGCACGGGGGAAGGGGAGGAGACCGACCGACCGACCAGACCGGACCGGAGCGGTGCGGAGGGGGTCGGCGCGGCGCGCGCTTTACTGCTACCCAGTGGGCCACTCTCATCCGCAACACTGTGGCGGGCGGGCGAGGACGGTGCTTTCCGGTGCGGTTACGTGGACGCGCCGTGTTTCCGCTAGCCGACATGCGGGCGGAGGGACGGGGTCGACGTGGGCGACGGTGCGCCGCACCGGGGGGACGACGACGACGGCCAACCCTTTCCTAACTACTTCCTCCGTTCCAAAATAGATGACCCAACTTTGTACTAAGTTAATACAAAGTTGAGTCATCTATTTTAGAACGGAGGGAGTAGCATCTACACCCGGGCGCCTTTTATCCATCTCAAACGGCCGCGCAGGCCGTCCGATCAAAAAAAAAATACCCGACTCAACCGAATCAGTTAAATCCCTAGCGCCGGCGAGCATGTTCGGCACCGGCGGCAGCTCCAGAGACGAGGAGGAGTTGGCGCTCCGTATCGCGCTCGAGCGCTCGCGAGTCGATGCGAGCGGCGGCACCGGTCCGGTGCGATACCACCTGCCGCCGCAGTGCCGACGTCGGCGCCGGCCATTCCAGTCCCCGCGGGCGGATCTACGGGGCCTGCCCGATCTGCTCCTCCCGCCCGATGGCCTCCTCCACTTCTGACCGCTGCTCCACGCGGGCAGCGGTGGGTTCTAGTGCCCGCCGCGGATGTGTACTTCGAAGTCGGAGGCACGTGCCGCCCACCACGAGAGGCAGAGGGCAAGGGAGATGGGGGCGGGTCCGACGCGTCTGCGCAGTCTGTCTGCCACCGTCGTGTGATGCCGGTGCCTGACGAGGAGGACCGTCTCCTCGAGTGGGTGTGTCGTCGGCCACTTACTAAGGCGGAGAATTTAGGCCCGACGGCTCCGGAGGATCAACGCAGCTCCGACTCGACATTGAGCAATCCGAGCGGGAGGCGGCAGAGGCGGTGTGGGTGGCCAAGCTCAAGCGCAAGCAAGACCGCGTCTCCGGTGCTTGCAAGGCTACATCGTCATCTCCGATTCAACGGGTCCGACGGTTCCGACGTGGATCCACCTCCTGTCGCAGACTCCTACAGTTGCCCCGACGACCGAAAGAGCAAAGGGTCGGCGAGGAAGTCGTGAAGCTCGCCCTCTCTTGTTTATAATCTAGTTCTAGTATGCAGTTACAATGTGCCGGATCGTTGAACTGTGTGACTTGCTCATTTGGTAATCTTTTGGTGATGTTTATGTGAATTATGTCCATTTCATACCAGTTTATATGTTTGTTTCCTGTCGATTTTGATCGTTTCGTGATCTACGTACTAGTTGCATAAATTTGTATGGATATAGGGTTCAGACTATGAGATAAGCGGGTGTGGAGGGCGCATTTAGGGAGTCACTACCAGAAACCGCAATATTTCTGTGGGTTGGAAACCGACAGGAAAAGAGCCAAACCCTACAGGGAAAGTATTTCCTGTCGGTCACCCGTCAGGGAAAGCCGACAAAGATAGCTTGACAGAGAAACTTTCTTTTGCCTGTCGGCCGACCGACAGGAAACATTTCCCTGACGGTCACTCCTGACGGTGACCGACAGGAAAATATGATTTCGTCAGGTATAGGGTGGCCAGGAGTATACGTTATTTCCCTGTCGGTCCGAACCGACAGGAAAATTCGCAGTATTTCGCCGTCAGTTCGTCACCGACAGGAATACTCATTACATTTCGCTGTGAGTTCGTGCCCGACAGGAATTTGTGCACGTCACAACCAGAATTATTAGTCCTGTCGGCCCAAAACCGCCAGCAATGGATGGTGCAGCTTAATGATCCATTTAAATTTATATACTGCATCTATCAACACAAATTATACCATGATGATCCTTGTGTCAACCACTACCATAAATTGGACTGATAAGATTTAGTTTTGCACATCTAAGTACATAACAGTTCTCGACAACAAAAGATAAATTGTTCAACTTGCAAGTTGCAAGGATAAGCTTCAGTGCATTACAAACAAAATACAACATACTTCACAGAAGTAGATAACCTGCCTCTAGTGTCTATTGCAACTTCCAAAATGCTACTCTATTACCAACACCACCATTAGTTCCAAAGTTGTGTTACCCTGCTCTAAGTCAACAAAGGCACTGCCCAGGTTACTACCACTCTAAGTCTCGCTTTCCAGGTTGTTGGAGTGAAGGTTAGTTGCACCAATAGCCATGTCGCCAATATTCCCATTGGAGTTGTCACCGCCAACAGTTCCACCCAAATCACCATCACCGGTGTTGTCATCAAGTGCTTGGGTTTCAATTTGAGATGAATTAGTGCCCCCCTACATAGGATTATTTATTTAGACAAACCAGGAGAGGTTATGAAGCAAACCAGAAAAGGCTTCTCAATTAAAAGTTGCAGTAAACCATCAGGTAGAAAATATAAATGATAATAAAACCAAATGGCCTTTTGTGAGTAAACCATCAACACATCCATTTTGGACAGATTTGGCCAACAATGTTAGTAGTAATTTTAACTAAGAGAGGATGGTCGGAATAAACAATGAACATCTACCACAAATGGTGTTTCGAACAGATTTGGCCAAGAACTTAAGTATGATAAATTTAACTAAACGAGAGTGACCAAAAATTGAGATCCTAGAAAAATAGAATGAATCATGGTGTAAATTCACTTAAGTTGGGACTACATGTGCATGCAGGAATCAAGATGCACTCCCACAAGCATATCTCAACATATTTGGGGGGGGGGGTTGAGAGGAAGTAGTGCCATCTATCAAGCTAAATCTGTATAAAGTACCTTACTAATCAAGAAGATCTAAGATATTCATGATGTGGCTAATGGCTACTCAAATAACATAATACTCTTTATTTGCAATGGTTGGCTGGCCATCAGTTTGAGAAAAAAGTTTCAGGAAGTAATGTACTTACATGTGGTTGGAAACTTTCTCCTTGGCGTAGCTCCTCTCGTAGTTCTTTTCCCATCTCCTTTAAAAGGGCCTATGAACAAGTATGCAACATTAGAATAGCTGGTTTGAACAATCAATCTGAAACATGTACACAAATTTGCAAGTACCAAGAAAAGTCTTCCATGCATATCCACTATCTTTTGAAGGTTCTCATTACGTCGCTTCAGTTCTTCGTTTTCTTGAATAGCTCGTCGCTTCAGTTCTTCGTTTTCTTGAATAGTTCATCGAAATGATGCTGAAGATAACGACCTCAGTTTCTTCTCTCTAGCTATTGAGATAACATCAGCCTTCTTAATTGCTCCATCCGCTATTGCTAGTCGCCCATGAGGAATGCCACCTGATGACTCATATAACATTTGCCCATCTAACTCTCGCTCCTCCCAATCATCAGGATGTGCGGCTCTAGCCAAATCACAGTAATCATCCTAGAACAATAGTAATTTTAACTTGTAAACTTGCAAACAGAACAAATAGTTGGTGTTAAGAAGACGAGCAAGAACATACGTGGCATTTTTTTGCCTTCCCGCTGAGGGTGGAACTGATGCTGCCACTGCCATCCCAATTCTTTAATCCAGATTTCATTGCAGCATACGTATTCAGGGTGGTAGCCTTCTCAGGCCCATATTTCCGTGCCTACAAGACCAACTAAATGAAATACAAAATAACAAGAAACAATTTGCGAAAAATCTCATACAAGTGTGACATACCAGAATTTGTCGAGCCTCCACAAATGGCGGTGAACCTCCCCGATTTTGAGCAATATCTTCACTCTTGAAGCGAGATTCCTGCCCTCTCTTCCTTAAAGACTTGAACTCTTTTGAGCACCAATAAGCACAAAGATGAGGCCATGCATGTTCCTTAAACCATGGTATTCTGCCTTCCAGGTACTGATCATATTCAAGTTCTTTTGAACATGCCAATGTGTCATCAAGCAGCTCTCCTTTCTCCTCATAGTAGAATTTCACAGCATCCACACAAACTTGATACATCATGTCCCTCACTTTTTTCATTGCATAGTTGTCCAACACACGATCAGCATCATCCTCCACCTTGTCCGGGTCTTCACCATCTTTCACATGAACCTCAAACAAGTTCTACAAGTTTACAAATTTTCATGTCAAATATGCATGTGCAGTACAGATTTTCAAAATAACTCCCAAGTACTTGGGGCTTACCCAAAACACTTGCTTCACACGATCTGCTGATGTCCGCCCCTTATCATCTACAGTATCATCATAATAATAATCAGACCACTCCAAAGCTGGACGGGTTTTAATGACAACACCACCTTCCTTCTTCTCAATTATGCTGGGGTGTTCTCGTTTAAGAATGATTCCAAGTTGCATATTATACTTGTAGTGTTTGGAATT